AGTTAATATGTGAAAGAGGTGTGTCTCAAAACAAAACTTGTCCAAAAATCCGATACTGTAACTTTGTGACTAGCGAAAATGAGTCCTATTTAGATAAGGGAACAGAGTGCTGAATTTGCTGTGTACATCTTCTGAATTTATTACCTGCTTCTGTATCCATACTGATTTTTCCTTTTCAGATAGAGATTATAAGTTATAATTTAAAATTATAACATAAGAAAAGCATTGTCTGCTCGGTGCAATCATTAACATTTGATTGCACCGTGTTCTCGACGAAAAGTCCGAGTAAAACATAGTGGAATCATAGACAGTTCGGACACGTCTTAAATTAAATATTCAACTGTTTTCTGCATTTTGAGATCCCTTTGGACTCTAGAAAATATAACCTCAAAAAGTTATGATTAAAACGCCGAGTAATACTTTTCCAAAAAATAAATCGAAACATAGCTAGCGGGGTTTTAAGCCATAACTTTTTGAGAATAGATTTTCTAGAGTCCGAAGAGATCTCAAAATGCAGAAAAGAGTTGAATATTTAATTTAAGACGTTTCTGAGCTGTCTTGAGGGACTCTTGTGGGATTTTATAGGGACTCCCGTCACGGGATTCTGCTGGGACTCTCGTGGGACATTTTTCAATTTTGTTTAGATTTTTCGGGATTTTACCGAGACTCTAGCAGGAGTTTATCAAAAATCCCGCGGGACTCTCGCAGGACTTTTTTCCGGGAGTCTCGACTAGGACAACGACAACTTACCCGTTAGTGATGATTCATCTATTTGGACATCACTAGATTGAACCAGTATTCCATCGGCGGGTAGTAAATCACCTATTGAAACAATGAGTAGGTTTCTTTAGAAAAGAAATCTTAGGGTGTTGTTGTTTTTTGTTGTATTTACCATATTTAATAAGGCACATATCTCCCACAACAAGGTCAAATACATTAACTTGTTGAACTTTTCCATCTCGAACAACATTTGATAATTGATCACTTTCAATTTTTGTTTGTAAACCACGAAATTGTTTTTCTTTTCTCCAATCGTTGAAGGCCGTCACCGTCACAACAACTAGCACTGCAATCAAAATTGCTACACCTTGAATCCATTCAACATTAGCTGGAGCAGAAAAATCATACAAATCGAAATCGAAAGTGTTAATTTCATTTTACAGGTGCATCGTATACCTTTTTTATTTGTGGAGTTGTTCTCGTCTGGTGCCTTGTAGAATGAGAGTCCGATAGACACAATGGAACAGACAAGCAGAATAATTATCATTAAATCGTGTAATGCTTCCCAGCATAACTTGAGAAAACTTTTCATTGGTTTCGGCGGTATTTTATTCTCCCCAAACACATTCCGTCTTTCCTCCAAGTCCGTTTCATTATCTGACTCTAATCCTTTTTGTGAATTTGCTTTTAATTTTTGTAAGAGACCATTTAATCCTCCATAATCATTATTTAATTTGTCAATCAATTCTTTTCCATGTAATTCCATCAGCTCAACCAACTGGGTAACATTAATATCAAATCCATACGATCCACCATCCTCTTCCATTTCAACAATACCCTCTTTTTTCTTGAATAACGGCATCTAAAGAAAATCAGAAAATCGCAAATTACTGGGGTTGAACAGCTGTCAACATATAACTTTTTAACCGTACATAGGTTGGATAAAGTGTGCACAGGTTGTCGACTGTTACTCTGCTGATCTACATAAAGTCGTTGTTCCTTATTTTTTTTCTATATATTTTTAGTTAAAATCATACAATATCCTTTAGCTATCGATGTTCTTTATCTCACTTTCTTAGGCGATCTTCTAATATTGTTCTTTTTACTTCCTTTCCCTCATCTGTCTTACAATTTTACTTCTTTCTTCAACAAAAATAATTGTCGGTAAACGTAATCTAAATAAAAAACGATGTAGTATTTCTGCTAGAAAAATTTATCATATTACTTATTGCTTATATACTGCAGAGTTCGGAGACAGTTTTTGACTTTTAATGTTTTCTTTTGTAGAGCGTCTAGAAATGGCTAAAGTCTAAAGTTCGAGATCGATTGTTTCGATTTCACAAAGATGCCTCTTTGTATAAAAAACTCTTTTGAAAGTGAAAAACTAGGCTTTAATCTGAAACGCCCGCTACTCTCCATCATGAAAGACTATGAGAAATACCGGTATATACGGCATATCATAGGGAAAAAATGATTTTGAGAAAACTTAAAATACCTTTTTCTATCAAACGTGAGTTATTCTTGAAATAACTGAGACAAGAATATGTGTTCAAATATGCTTAGAGGTTTTCCGACCCTAGTATATGAAATCTGTACCTATATGGATCTTGTTCCTGCTAAAAGTACTATTATTGCTTAATTTTCTCTTAGGGGTCCCATGAAACTTCAAGAAAACCGCTGATAACATGTTTTAAGAGAAAAAAATAGTGCAGCGGAGGAGCTTGTCGGTTATCACATTATGTGCTGTTCTAATAGTTAATATTCTTGACAAAAATCGGTATGTGTAATGTGTGGAGAGAGGGGGTGTGTAAGCTTTAAAAATTGCACCTCCATTTTACCCAACGATATAATTTGGTGTTAAACGGTATACCTTGCAGCGATAACGATACGTATGCAATATTCAATAAACAAAGTCAAAAATTAACTTTAACTGTATCAAATTATATGTAATACAAGAGGTTTTGTAATAAAGTAGGTTTTTTAGCGTTCATTCAGTCACTTTACTAATATTATATGAAAAAATAAACTGCATGTTTTTTTTCGTACATAGAAAAAAACAAAGAAAAAAAAGCTTTTTTCCTTTTCTCTTTACTTCATGTCACTTCTGTGTTAAGGTATCGTCAAAACCTACTATAGAACTTGATTTACCTATTAATAGATAGCTGAATAACCAGCAAAAATACACTGCCACGCTTATTACTCATTACAAAACCTATTCTAAATCGTTCTACCGAAACCTATTCACAAAACATACAAGTCTTTCTAAAGGTTATGGATTTCCCAAATTCATCCTCATCGTGACCTCCATTTAACTTCTGCATGTGTAGCATTCTAATCGGCGATTCCATGTCATCGAAATTGCGGTATTTTTAACAATAATCCTGGCCCATGAAAAAATTTCGAAAATTAATCTCGATTTTTGAAAACATCGCAAATTAGTCGCGATTAATTAGCGATCCTGGTGATTTTTCTTTTTTAATAATCGTCAACTAACTGAGATTAATTGTTGATTATAAGCGATTAAACGGTTTTTTTGTTATTCACCGTTTTATTTTGTAGCAGAGTATATATAAGAAACACAATTTCAACGAGAAATACTCTTCTTCTAGATCATGTTTTTATTTTAGATTAAAACGGAGTTGCAAAGGCATGTTCTCTCTTCTCCGTATACTACAATATACGTTAAATTCCGACGAAATACGTCAGTCGTAAACGTTGACAGATACGACGATATGTAAACGATGAATTACGATGTAGTTACGTCAGTCGTATACGATCGTTTACGACAAAAAAAATCAGAACGTAACAAAGTATACGACCGTCGTAAACTGTAGTAACCCTGACGTATTTTCATCGTTTACATTATCGTAGCAGATTTGATCTGAAAATATATTTTCAAAATGCAGTCAGTACCAGTGCGCATGCTATCTTGCACCGGTACGCATTAGTTCCGCAGTTCTTCAGTCACCGTTTTGTTATCTACGATTGATTCCACTATGTTTTACTCCGACTTTTCTTCGAGAACATAGTGCAACCAAATTTTAATGCGTTCGTCAAACAAACAATGCTTTTGTCTATTTTATAATCTCTATCTGAAAGGGAAAAATCAGTATGAATTAGAGAGTAAGGTAGTAAATTCGAAGTACGTACACAGCAAATTCAGCTCTCTGTTCCCTCATCTAAATAGGTCTCATTTTCACTAGTTTAGTAAAGTGCCTTATATAACAGACACTGTTTTTAGTCTCGTTTAAAATGGGAGAAAAACGTTGGTATCATCAATGATATACGTGGCGAGAGTGTACACTTATGTCTTATACAATTTATGTCACGTGGATAAGCACGTGGAGCAATCTATCTTTTGTGTGTAATCTATCGTTTTCTACATTTTTCTATATCATGTGGATAAGCACGTGTTCATGAAAGGTTGATGTTAGAACAATTGTGAGTATCCTCTGTGTAAGATGGCTTTGCCGTTAGCGACTGCCAAGATGTAGCGATGATCAGTTCGGTTCTGTTTGACGCACGGAGGATTAGGGCTCAGCCATTCCGCCTCATTCACAGAATATTGGATTGGCTCTAATAACGAACTGCTCCTAGCGATAGTACCTACGGACATACATTCTCTGAAAGTCCAAGCGTGAATGTTTTCTTCACATATGGCAAACGTTATCTTACGGTAAAACTCACAGGCGAACTATAAAATCGTGTTTCTTGAAACATCATTTCTACATACTGGAAATTTGAGTTTGATTTTCTCATATATTGTAGAAAATCGATCGATTTTCTAGAATATTAGAAAATCAAACTCAAATTTCCAGTATGTGGAAAACACCGAATTTTCATGTTTTTGGAAATTTTATGCTAATTTTCTGAATAAAATGAAGTTAATTTATAGAAAATAGAAAATCACGAATTTCTAAAAAGCCTAGAAAATCGATCGATTTTCTATAAATAATTCCCGAGATTCTTGAAATTCGAAATCGATTTTCCAGTTTTATGATTTTCAAAGTAGCTGGAAATTCGAAGATGCTACGGTATACGTGGACCAGTCATATTGTGTACAAGTCATAAGTTAATAGTTTTGTGTGAATAAAATTAAGCAGAAATTCTACTAGGGATTTGATATCGATCTGATAGAAATCAAAAAAGGGTTAGCTAATTTCCAGGATCCACGAAGCTCTTTCAACCAAGATTGTTGATCTAACACATCCATTTAAAGTTCACAGATGTTTATAGTACACTACATTCTCGGTAGTTGCAGGCGTTTTGAATCTTCATCAGGCTTTAGTACTCACTCTTGCACTTAGTCTTACAATTGGGATTTGAATTTAACTTTACCGTCTTTTATACTGTTTTTTATTTCAGATGATAAAGACGTTAAAAGTCACTACGTAAAGCTCAGCTGCACTTCAAAAACGTGTTTTATTTGACTCAAACGCATCTAAATGCATTTTAGTGAACGCGTTAGGAAAAGCGTACTGTTTGCTTCACATAATGCTTAAAACGCGTTGTTTGTGCACGCAAAAATGAACCGCACTTAGACGTGTCAACAAAATTTGATAATATTTTAGACATATTACAATACATTAAAAATACACTAAATTCTCATAACGCGTGTTTGAAATTAACTAACGTTACCTTCTGAGATCAAAAACGCGTCTAAGGACTAAAATAGTACCACTGGAACGCGCCCCAAGATCAATAAAAATATATTTTTATAGGTCAAAGTTTACTAAAAATTTTATAGACGAATTGTGAACGCTTTGTAAAACGTTTTGTCGATGCGTTTTGTCTTCATTGTTACACAAGCAATAATCTGGAGATTCCTCGACGATTTTCCAGATAACTGGAAATTAATTCCATTTTTCGAATTTCCAAAAGTCCATATATAAAATCGAATTTCCAGAATGCTGGAAAATCGAGGTCGAATTTCCAAGTTTCTTGTAAATTTGATTTTCTAGAATCTAGAAAATTCTCAAGGAATTTATATACGAACTTTTTGAAAATCGCCGTTTTATAGAAATAATTCCCGACATTAAGTGTAGATGTGAAAAACCTTCTAACAAACTACTTTCAAAATATCCACGCCTTAGCGATCGAGATATCATCCTTGGACCGAGAGAATGATCCAAGCGATGAATGTATTCGATTGTTTTGTCAACCTATAATGAAAAGATTATACATATTCGGTTTTTTTCTGTGCGATAACACAGACCTTCTACTGAACATGTACAAAATATTCTCTGAATATGAACATTGCTTACAAGGGAACCTTTCGAGATGTAACCTTTCGATTCCAATGATTTGTACATGGATCGATAGACCTCAGTGAGGTACTAAATACCCTAAAAGAATTCGTGCCCATTCTCGGAGACATGGGTTTTCATTGTTCAGACCCGGTTTTCTGGAAAATCAGTTTTTCAGAACTCTAAAAATAATCTAAACCTTGTTTAATAAAGCATGATTACAGCCCGCTGGTTTCTGATTAAAATGAGACATCTCCCAGCTCTACATGATCTTTCTTTGCAAAGTTATAGATCTTACAAGAAAAGCCCTAAATGTGTTCATTGTCAGCTCAAAATTACAGAAATAAGAAGAAATTAATTTAGGGCTTTTCTTGTAAGATCTATAACTTTGCAAAGAAAGATCGTGTAGAGCTGGAAGATGTCTCATTTTAATCAGAAACTAGCGGGCTGCAATCATGCTTCATTAAACAAGGTTTAGATTATTTTTTAGAGTTCTGAAAAACTGATTTTCCAGAAAACCGGGTCTCCGAGAATGGGCACGAATTCGTTTAGGGTATTTAGTCTATCGATCCATGTACAAATCATTGGAATCGGAAAGTTACACCTCGAAAGATCC